CACTTGTAGCGATACCCTGTACTCAGAAATTTATTCTCCATAGATTGGGAGACATACTATCTGGCTGTTAAAAGCTTTAATCTACAAAATTACAGAAATTACTTTATTTACACAAGAGGATACACAGGTAATAAACAGTTTGTTCAAGGTCACAAATAGATCAAGTGCCAAGAGAAGCATTAGAAAACAGACCCACTGCATTGCCTGACTTCAGCACAAGCTAAGTACGTATTAAAAAAAAAAGATTATTTTCATCTTTCTTCAGTTTTACATGGCTTAGAGCTAATTAAGATGTAAATAAAATGAAAACAACCTTGAGAAGGTCAGAAATCTTTATGCCTGCCACCAACACAGAGGCAGTTTTATTCTGGAATTTTTTTTGCTTCATTATCTTACTGCATCTAATAATTCAGCAAGTTTAAGCAAGGCAGCTTCCTGACAGGCTCCTGCTAATGTGTCCACAGGACCTCTGGCAGATGCAAAGTGGCAGGCACTCAGAGTCAGTCAGCTTTGCTGAGGTGTTATAAATAGCTGTAAATTTTTCCTTTTGGATTTCACATTTCGATGTATAATAATAATAATGCAGGAGTGTCCTTTATCAACTGATCACAACTGACCTTCAAAGTCATTACCGCTTTATTTTGTGCTAAAGAATTATTTGGATCACCTCATCACCCCTTCCTCCAAAGATTCATCTTGCCATTTTCCCCATGAACGATTGTTACAGGGCATAGAGGACCACTGACTTTTCTAATACCTTCTGGCCATTTACAAGACTGCAGCAGTTAGCTGCATAGGTCCAGAGGCAGCCACCACACATGAAATCCAAACTGCACACATAGAAAAGTGGTTTTAATCCTGTGGCTGCTTTTCTAGATTTTGGGCTTGACAGGCTTAATCACAGCACTGGTATTTTCAGCTTCTATTTCTTCTAATCATCCTAAGCATTTAGTATAGTGTATGAAGAGAGAGAGAAAAAAATCCAAACAAAATCACCATCCCCACATCAAGTCCAAATCAGCCTCCACCTTCCCCATCCAAAAAATAAAGCTAGAAAAAAAGATTAAAGGAAACCAGAACTCGAAGCGTCTAGTTACTCTTCCAAAGCTAGTTGTAAATATTCTGAAAATGAAGGCTACGTAGTAATGCAATGCAGAGAAAGTCCCCCTGGCAGTAAAGGAAACAGTGAAGATAAAGACATACGTCTCCATGCATAGAATTTGCTTTTCATCTGGGGATCTAACTCTGTCGTACCAAAATTCATTCATCGACTCCACTACACTACACATTCCAACTTGGCAATTTCGATGTTCTAACAACTTGGACCAGTAAGCCTGGAAACTACCTTGCAAATATAAGGCTTAATTTTAAAATAAAAATTCTGTGTCTCCACCACTGCAGTGCCAGAGGACACCAATAAGTAATCCGTGCTCATCCACAGTCGGTTTAGAAACAACACAGCTTCAATGGAATTCAACATTTAACTCCAAAGATCCTCTGATCCAAGTAAGGGTTTTCACTCTGTTCCCTCCTAGTGCTGAATTGCTCCCCAAGGTTAACTGGGCCAAGCTCCTGTTTAAGAGCTCTCTGACAGTGCAGGTGACACAGCCGTAACAACACACACGCATGGCCTGTACTCCTGCCCCTCCGCTCGTGGTGCTCTACACCCAGTGCACAGGTTGGGATCCACTGACAGTGGGCAAGGAAATCTCTGCAGGGGTGGGAACAAATGGCTTCTCTTCATATTGAAGCTTTCTGCTGCTTGAGGATTGTTAATGAGGAAATGCCTTCCTTGTCTTTTTCAAACATAAAATCTGATTTCCTTTTTAAACAAAAAATTACATTTGTGGTTTTTGTTTGATGAGAAAGGTATAGCTTTTGGTTGCGGGTTTTTTCTCCCCCAAAAATCTTAACTAACAGCATCACAGTCTGAATTCTGATTCTTCTGATGTTCTTAAGTTAAAGGTTTTTCTACATTATAGATTAACTTTGAAAGTAGTTTACATATACATAAGAACTATATATTCAGTCAGGGAATAATGTATTTATAAAGGCATCAGAAAGGCACAGTACCACATTTCCAAGAAAACGAATACAGACAAACTTCCCAATAAATATGCACATGTATTTAGATCATATGCATCTACATCTAACAGCACCATTTGTTAACAAACTCTTCTCTAGCTGAAATTTTTTTCATTCAGAAAGTAATTTATTTTAAAAAGTGTTCCATGATTTGAAACAGTAAGATTTATCTAACATAAAAGGCTTTTCTACACAGTTACTATACAAAATATGTGCAAAAAACTTCAATAAAGTAAGCAAAGGCTGTGACACAAATCAGAATCAAGGAAATCAGTTCTACAGGAAATAATGGTTTTACTTCACTTTTCCCCAATGATCTTTCCCCAAAAGCTGCTCAGACTATAAGAAAAGACCTAGCCAATCCATTAGTGCCAAATGCTTGCATTTCTTTTACAGCTGCTGGAAAATGAAGCAGTCTTCACTTCAGACAGAAACAAGATATGTCATCAGTCTAACTAAGCCTAGGCAGCAAGATCCTTCATTTAAATATTTGGAAATGGATGGATTAGCAAAAAAAAAAAAAAGAGGTTCAGTGAACATAAAACTACCATGTTTTCAAATTCATTAAAACAATATCACAGCTGTTGATGCATTTAGGTTTCAGAACATAAAATGTAATGGAAAAATAAACCATACTGCTCTCCTACCACCCTTTAACAGCACAGTCCCTCTGCCAGTGCAATTTATTGTGTGCATTACTTAGCCATGCAATGTCGAAAGAAAATAAGAAATGGAAATCAATAATCTTCACATTAAAAAATAATAAAAGTAACCTTAGATTAATGGCAACTAATTTGATACCTACAGACAAAGCTCTAATTCCCCCATCCCCATGTCAGCATTAACAGTACTTCTACTTCTGCCCACCTGGAATTGTGTGGGAGAAACATGCAGAGGATGTCATCCCTGTGATCTTTTGAGCACCTCACCAACTCTGTGAAGGATCCAGGGAAAATGGTATGAAATGAAGAGGGGCAATTCCTTACTGCCCTCAACACCAGCTACTTAGAAAGAACTGCAGCTTTGCTGACTTCCATGGGCATTATCAGATGGAAGAAAACAGTAGTGTTTGGCTCTAAGCCTCTCATTTGACGAGCAAATCTCACACTTCCAGTGAAAGGCAGAGTTGGGTGCTTATAATCAAAAAGGAAAACTTGACAAATTTCACTGAACAACTGGTTACTGCAACCTCATGGCTTTTACCCTGAAACTGCTTGCTTTGCTGCAGGCTCAAGTCTCAAACTTGTCACACACTTATATACCAAACTTGGCATTTAACCCACAAGCCAAAATTGGGTTCTTCAGGTTTAACAAATCACTGAAGAAGGCTGGAACCAGTCACAAATCATAAGGAACAGAGCATGAAAGTCTCTTCTGCTGCTCTCTGGAGATTCTCACTGTGCTGTCATAGTGTCACCTTGTGTTTTTAGGCTATAAACTCAGAGCTAATGAGACAGAAGCAAAGGTCAACTTTGCTAAGATAAGATTTCTTAAAGACAGCAAGTTCAATCTGTCAAACCTTTTTGCAAAATATAAACTGTGTACCTATATAGGATTAGTGATCCCCATCTTGTGCACACAGTCATTAAGCCACAAGAAACATACTCTCACTACAGTATGTAAGAAATACTGTCCTTCTAGAAACTGCACCTTTAAAGTGTCTTCGATTGAAGATTTCTTAATGGGCCCAAAGAGAAATGGCTACAGTGAAGCACTTACTCAGCTCTTGATTTTTCATTTCATGCTTTCAGCACTCTGCCTTTATGCAAGTCCCTTTTCTAGGACCCAGTTCTAAAGTCAGTTGGACTCCTAAAAGCTTTGATTTAAAGTGAATAAATAATGCCCAATTTCAAACCAATGCTTGAGTACTTTTTAAAAATGCTGCCTTATACCAACCTATACCTGACTTTTTAATAGAGTTCTTAGGGATGCTGTACACAGAGAAAGGGCTTAATGCTCCAAAGCAAATATTAACACGTTAGGTATCATTTGTGTGAAAACTATTTCAAAGCCAAGAAATTAAGCAAAGAACATAAGATGGGGAGTGACTGATTAACGTTTTTGTGACAATTGTGTATATTGAATTAAACTGACATCACTTCTCTCTCCCTTTTGAAATCTGAATGCCTTTCACACTGCTGTGTACCACGCTGACTTACGTATCTAGCAGAAAAGGCAGTGTTCCACAGATAATCTTCCCTGTCTATCACCTACCCTTTGAAACACTTGTACTCCATCAGACAAGGATCTCGGACCATTAACCATCAAGGCACACAGTCTACAGCTCTTACAGCTGCATTTCCTACAGCTCAGATATCGTATATCTGAAGATTGACAAAAACAGTACCAGAACATTCAGGGTTTCCATTCTTTAAATGTCTATTTTCAGAAAATTAATAACCTCCAGCACTGCAGATAAATGCATTTAAGAAAATAATTGAAAGACTTATTGGCAATGTTTCAGAACACTTCCGTGACTTCATGCAACAGCTTGTGATTTTACAGCTAAGCTGAAGAACATGTACTCTGCAGGCTTGCGAGGCCTTCAATTACTCTAACAGAAATAATGAGCCTTGCACTTGGAAAACTAATGGCATTAATCATTTATCTTTCAGAATATATCTGTCCCTGCCACTAAAATGTACATATAATGTTAATAATTCCAAACAGTTCCACAGAGAATATTTCAGTTTCCTGCTAAAGAGAAAATGCCAAACCGGTCTCTCAGGCTTACTGCAATCCAAGTATGAATATGAGGGGGAAGGAAATGCAAACTTTCATACCTATTCCTTCAAACTCACAAAACATTCATTTTAGATGCAGCCCTTAAAAGAACTACTGATACTTTTTTTACCTTCTTCCTTTGCAGCACCCACTGAACACAAGCTCTTATACACTCCCCAGAATGTACTTACCCTTAGTTCAACTTCTTTGCCAAGTAAGTCATACAGACTTGCTCCTTTGGAGGTGATTTCAGAAGCAAGCTGTCTAGCTGCTTTCAAGTCAGCAATCTGGAAACACAGCAACAGCACTGAATAGTAAAAGACAATGCCCCACCATCACAAAGAAAATGCACGACAAATTTTTCCCATTTTGATGTTAAAAATCACATATAAGGTCAGCACAGTGGCTGAAACTCTGCCACAGTATTGAATAAGATGGCCACTGGAACCAGGAAGCCTGTCTCTTGGCTTTAAAATGGTCTAGATGAGGCACCATTTACACATAGGCTTCTGGGCGAAACCCCAGTCACTTTAGGCCAACAAAAAAAACCCCAAAACTCCTAAAACTGTGACTCGGCCAGTTCAAGTGCTGCCCTGGGCAAAGGGAAACATCACCTTTTTCACATGAAAAGTAAGAAGTATATATATCAAAAAGTATGTAACTAGCACATTGCATACATAATGACTACTGATCATCTACAGGTTTTTTTTTCATTATTACTTTGGGTGTTTTCTTCAGAGACACACACCAGACTTACACAGAAGAAAAATTGCCTGTGGTTCTGCCATTTTTTTCAAGAATGGTAGTATTATTCCATAACAAGCAGGCATGGCATAATATAGCTATAAAAGAATCAAAGACTAGAAGTATTAAACTATAAGAAGAGGTGCTAAAACTATCTAAAAGCAGTAACAGAATTACTCTTCTTTAACAAAGTATTGGGTTTTTTAATATCTCAAAATGGCATTTATTTTTAAGGGCTTGAACAGCTTTCATGTCTGTTAGGGTAACATGAAGACTTCCCTTTAATGCAAACAGGCTGAAACACAACCTTCAGTCTTTATTTTGCAAACTCCTCCTTTTGCAACAAAGTTAGCAGATAGAGAATAGTCTTTATTCCAGTCTACTCCAATACTTCTACGATTTCAACACCAGTCCAAACCACAGTTAACCAATTTTGTGCCACTGTTGCCTTGTGTTATGCTTCTGGTTGAGAATTCAGAGATTAAGACAAATCATAGCAATATAACCTCAACTACAGAAAGTATGAGTTAAAACCACACCGGCTCCCTTGTGAGAATATTCTCTACACTTAAGTTTCAGAGAGAAAATGGATTTGTTTTTTATAGGTTAACACAAAACCCCTGCCAAAAGGAAGAGTACAAGTTTTCCTTACTTTTGAGCCAAGATCAAACTTGAACTTGCTGCTGTCGTCCTCACTCACGTCTGCACGTTCCACTCCCTTGGTATTCATAGCACCGTAAAGCACAGAGGTGACCTTTAGCAGCTCCTTCACTGCATAGCCATCTGCCTGGTAAAGCTTCTTCGTGTTGAGCTTTATGTGAGCTTTGGTAGCCTTTGGGAAGAAAGAATGAAGTCACTGTGTCACAAAGAACAAAATCCTCATTTACCTCCTCACTCTCCACTCAAAAGCTCTTTTGGGGGGCACCAGAAATTTTTTTTTTTTTAACAGAAATCAATCTTCCTGTTTGAAAACACAAGTTTCCCTCATCAAATTACTGATGTTTCTAGAAGAAATTTTTCTGTAACATGTGCACTCTCTGTATGTCAGAATATTTGCAGATAATTGCCAGAATGAAAAAACTCAAACTATCCATTAATTCTTTCCCACATGAAGATCAGCAAAAACCCTGTGCACCACTTAAATTCAAATTAAGTTTAAGTGGAATGTAAGTGCTGCCCAGGTCCTGTGATGATGCTGGAGAGAGGTAAATTTCACCCTTAATGAGTTACAAGAGTAAGATCAATTATCCTAATTTAACTGTCTTCTCTTCCAGCAGTACCTTCTGAATATTTTATTGTTTCTCTCAATTTTTTCCCTGCTATGATATTAGTGATTTTACTCCCTTGTCTTCCATCTCTGAAAAGGACAGACAGACCAGTAAGGAAAAAAACATGAAAAATTATAATATTATCTTTGTGTATTTCAAAATAATAAAGGGGAAAAAAGCATAATAGAAATGATACATCTGCCACGGAAAGGACACAAATGTTGTTCTTTAAATTCCTGACAAGACTGTATTATAGACACAAGGAGCCAACACCAAACTTCAGATAAAACTTTGAGGCAGTTTCCCTGATGGCATGACTAAACAATCAAACAAACAAAACCTGATCATCAGTTATGAATACAAAAACTAAGCACCCAAATAACTTAACAGCTTCCTTTCAGTATCTTTTGAAGCTGAAACTTCTGCTAAAATGTTTAGCCTTTGAGAATATTGTGTGGCAGAAAGAATCTATCCATGGTTCACTGGTGGTATTACACAACTTCGGTATTACAGCATTACAGGAATTCACACCCCCCTAGGGCTCTGACAGTGCAAGATCTTCAATTTGGGGTAAAAGACTCAAACATTAAAATGGCTGATACAAGTTTTGCCCGCTCAGCACTGAGTTCCACTGAATAACTGACTGTAGGAAAATTTCTTGTGAAACTAAAGAGAGAAAGGACCACATCTCATGGATTTAGCTCCAACTTTTCAAAGACCAAAGGAAACAAATAGCTGTTGGTCCATGTTTCTTCCTACGCATCTTGTCGAACTTTGTGACTTTTCAATCAGATTTCCACTTCCAAGAAATTTTTAGCTCTTGCCTCTCTCATTCCAAAATCTCAACCCAGCAGAGGAAACTGACTCTACATCTGCTTCCTGATGACAGGAACTCAGCTGAAAAGTGAAGACAAATTTCCAGAACAGCTTACTGATGCGGAACACCCTTAGCTGGGGGAATACGAGGCTTAGGGTAAAAAAACCCCTAATCACTTTTAAAACTTTTGACCATTGTGACCTCAAAGGAGCCAATAAACAAAGTGGAAAACCAGATACGTTCTTCTTCCTTCCTTTTCAGTAGAAGGAATCTAAAAAACTAATTGTAGAAACAATTGTTATTAAATTTTAAGAGAAGCAAACTACTAAATTCATATAATCTGTTAAACATCTCCTACACAAAGACATCTAATGCACCATATCACGAAGGATGTTATTAAGGATAGGAGTTCCAATTTCAGTTCCATTCAACCCCAAGAGAGAAAAATCACAGAATCACAGAATGGTTTGGGTTGGAAGGGACCTTAAAAATCATCTAGTTCCAACCCCTGTCCATGGCAGGGACACCTTCCACTAGCCCAGGTTGCTAAAGCCCCATCCAACCTGGCCTTGAACCCTTCCACGGAGGGGGCAGCCACAGCATCTCTGGGCAACCTGTGCCAGGGCCTCAACACCCTCACAGGGAAGAATTTCTTCTTTAGATCTAATCCAAATCTACCCTCTTTCATTTTAAAACGATTACCCCTCATCCTATCCCTATGCTCCCTAATAAAGAGTCCCTCCCCATCTTTCTTTAAGGCCTCCCTTCTCCAGGCTGAACAATCCCAACTCTCTCAGCCTGTCCTCATAGATAGGAGAGGTGCTCCAGCACTCTGATCATGATCTAGTAAACGAAAAAAAAAATGTTTTTTTTCACTCAAAGACTACTTAAAAATAAGAAAATATACACAGATAAGTACATATATTTTTCAGATTGGCATAATGCCATTGCTTACTCAAGAAGGCAACTTCATGTCTGGAAGGCTTGAGACAGACACCTGTGTTTTAACAACTCTAAATAGGTTTCAAGTACCATTATGTATCACCTCCATCTATTCTGAAGATCAGATTATTACAATGCAATAGAAAAGATAAAGAGAAATATACTGCAAGAATAGCATCAACAGTCAGAAAGTTTGCTTTACTTTAAAATATGTTTTATTATTATCATAGTGACAAATTTTGACAGTGTGATGGAAATTCAGAAACAGCCCAGGGAAGAACCAGAATTGTCAGCTGAGTGCTCCAGCCATTCGGTTACAGAATCACGGTCTTTAGCCTGTCTGGCCCAAATATTTTGCATTCTTTCCTGTACAATGGCACATTCTTGATAGGAGGAATGAGGATTGCTCTCATTTCCCTGTCTTCTTTTAATACTCAGGATAGTCTCCTGGGTACTGAAGTAGTGGCTCTAAATCTCCACTGCTTCTCCCATCACTTTTTAAAAAACAAGTATTTGCCTTTTGCAAAAAGTTTGGTACCTTGGTTTGCTAAGTATGTTTTCATGAATCAATTTCTATGAGACTACACTCATCAGAGGCTTTTTGCTGCACTCCACCTCAAATTTGGATCCAAGCAGCCTCGAGAAGGAGCCTGGTATTGAGCCACACAGACTAGGGCACTTCTAGGTGGGCAAGTGATTAAAAAAACACATAAGACAACCTGCAAACACTTCAGGAACTTTTGGGTCCAAAAAGAAGCCATTTGTTAAGTTCTCAAACCGCTAGTAACACAGAGTAATATGTAATTTGTGTAAAAAATTAACACATCTTTACTCCTTGTTTGGTAAAGGAGAGCAATACTCATATGTCATGATGATTAATCCAACCTGATATTCTCTTCTGAGGCAAATCTGTCTCCATCAAATCTCACACCTGGCTATAGATGCATAAAGCTACTGGCTACTGGAGAAGATAACTGTGGATTCCATGGACAGTGAATTACGCAGGAAATGTCTACAAGCTTTTCGCATTCTGAAAATGCTGAAATACTACAATAAACTCCATATTATCGTGTAATATTAACTGAGAATAAGTACAGGATGATTAAAGAAATTTCCATTCATTTTTAGCATCTTATTATGTAATTCTTCAAAACCCTTGGGATTTCTTACATGAAATCAGTTATTAAAAGTAAAATGTATGCATAACATTGTTTCTGCTTCCATACTTGCCCTTTTAAAACATGATTGATTTGAAAACCCCTCCAAATAAAATGGAACTGTTGAACATCTTATGATGCTCCAGGGCTCAAAAGTGCATTCTGGTATGTACAGAATTGTATCATGCTCTGAACATAGTAAAATTAAGAATTAAGAAAATTTATGGTGGACATCACAAATCAGAAGGAAAAAGCTGGCTTGTTTATAATGTCATTTGAGTATACTTTAAAAATTTTGAAAAGTATTATAAAAAAATCAATCTTTGGTATTAGCACAAAGACTTCCATTGCTTCCAGACTCACCCACAGTCCCATTATTTTTTTTTCTACCTGATTAACAGTGCCGTAACCACAAAGGCTCATGCTGCATCAAAATAACAAGAATTATATGAATGACAATGTTATTTTATTCCACGAGACTAAAAAAGTTCATGGCCCAATTCAAGTATGCTCATGTATAATGTGATAAAAGATTTGATCTGAGAAAAATATGACTTGATCTAGTGAGAAGGCTTATACAACAGAATAGCAATATACAATTCTACATCATAACGAAAACATCAGAAGTTATGACTACTCAAGCGTACAAAAGAATCAGGCATCCAAAGTTAGCAATAAATATGATGGGTTCTCTTCTGAATCCATTTAAATGGCTTCAATAAATTTCATATCTACAGCTATATCTTCCACTATTACCTTTTTATAAATATGAAGTGATGAGGATGAATACTGTTTTAGCATCAGATGTTTAGATCCAAATTCCACAAAAATATGTACATAACTCTACAGGATTTCAGTAACAGCACAAGATACACAATAGAGCACAAGAATACAACACATACCCAGCCTCTCATTGCATTGAAATTGTCAGGGGTTAAGAGAGAAAGCACTAAAACTAAAATAGAACCAGCATTACAATGTGCTTAAGGACGATTCCTTAGGCAGCCTTACCATGAACTGAGCCACTGCCTTGATGAAGAAAACCCGGTCCTGTTCTGTCTCCACATCAGGAGGAATATCAGTCTGAGGTTCATACCTGTGGAAAAAAGCAAACGCAGATTCGGACAAGAAATAACTGTGTAATATTAAAACACTCGTTTGTGAGGCAAAAATCAAACAAAACAAGCATGTATGAGACCGGAAAATAAATCTTTAGCTCCTACTGCAGACTGGGCTATCCAGACCCTGGAATGCATACGATGGGTTTGTGTACAAACTGCAAAAGCTGTAAAACCTGAGGAAGTTCTCCAGGAGGAGTGGTTACTGTGAGGTCCTGAATACATCTTTTCAGTCAGTTTTGCAAAGGAGCAAAATTCAGGTGGCTCAATCAAGTCTCTGAAATACTTCTTCTTAAAGTACTTTACTACTTAAACCACAAGCTACTTACATAAATCAAACTAAATCATGTGTGGCTTCACAATTTAAAACACCAGGCATACGACTGACAATGCTCCCAGTCTTTCTGGTGGTATGTTAAAATGACTTGTACTAGATTACTATTGTTCATAATAAAGCCAGACACCTTGTCTTTTAAAGTATCACACTTTTCCACACTCTCAAAATACACAAGAAAAGATCACACTTGGACATCATCTCAAACATATTACTTTCAAAAGTAAATGCAACTTATGAAAAAGCAAACTGTAAGATTGTGAAATGCTTAAAAAAACCCCAAAACATTCACGAAATGCAGAAACTTCTAGAAGTCACCAGCCTACAGGAACCAGGGAAGAAAAAATTCCCAGTTTCACAAAATGCTTTGAGATTTTCAGCATTCAGAGAGGCAAAAAAAAAATCTTTGCATTCAAATCCCATTTGAAATTATAAGCAAGGCATATGTGAAGTAGCCTCTCTGCTTTAAAGTGTAATTAAAAGACTTCTAGAAGCTGGAAAAGCTGTCTGCCCACGTCAAGTGTAATTCTGACCCATAACAGAAAATGGTGCCAGTGTTCAGTCACTATTTGGTCTGAAAGTGAAGCACTTGACTATTAGGCATAGTTTAAGTTTAAGCTTTTAAAAGCTTTTAAAAAGAAAAAAGCTTTTAAACAGAAGTTTAAGCTTTTAAATGCGTTCAGGTTCATTAGAGAATGTATTTTTTGAACAATATTTCCGATTTCTTCCAACTGCTGTTATTTTATTGTTACATACTAGGGAGGACACTGATTTGTTTTTTACATGAGTTGAAAACAACCAGTAATTTAGACCATCAGTGTAACAGCAGTATTTCAAACAATATTTAGGTAACTTAACCCAGGCAATTCTGAATGGTTGTAGTATGTCCCCATTTTATTACAATTTCAACAGGATTCAGCAAATTTCTAACAGCTCAGTAATAGAACTTAATGGATACTAATTATGAATCCAGGCCAAAAAAGAGCAATCAGGCAAATGGGTCACTGTCATATTTCAGTTATAATAGTCTACCTTATGAGTAGCTTAAAAAAACTTAATTTTTTCACTTACATGGGAGAAAGACGATTATACATAATTTCATTAGCACTTGAAGTTTCATAAATATTTAACCAAAGTCTGTCAATAGATTAAGTGGGTATAAAACTACAACTGATAGTAGTAAATTAGTACTATACAATTATTTTTTTTTTAAACATGGTGTGGATGCTAGACAGTTGAACCAGTAACTATTGTAGCAACAGGGTAAAAACTAACTGTATCTTGATAAATTCTCACCATTTATCACCCTGTTTGGGGTACAAGGTCAGACATAGGCAGAATGGTGTTGGAGTTTGTAAAATATGTGAAAGAGATGTGGCTACTTCTGAGTAAGTATGTCCACCTTCAGGATGCAATCTCTGCCAGGACCGTGTCATTATATTTTTCACTTCAGCTATTAAAACACATCTGTTGTTGTCGTATAATTAAACTAAAAACCTGCAAACTTAACTACAACATCTTCTATCTGCTATTTAGAAGAGTAGATCTGAAAGAATGGGTAAATATCATTATCTTCCTCTTCAAATACAGTTTTACACCAAAACATCAGCTCTAAGCATACATATGGCACCCAGCATCAGCCCCAACCTTTGTTAGCCTAATCACCAACCTTTTCACTAGCCAGAGAAGCACTTCTGAAACAAGCATGAAGTTTGGGGTATGAAAATTCTCCATAGATATGAGTCGGGGATACCCCAGTGCCCTCATCATCTCAGTAAAATCTGAAAAACAAGTAAGAGCATGGATGCCTTCTTACATCTCCATCATGGCCATTACCAAGAACTCTGGTTCCCACACACGCTGTTCATTTACCATTAGATATGCCCTGTTCAATCTACTGTTAAAAAAAAATACTGAATGATTAAAAAAAAAAAAAAAAAAAAAG